GTCACAGGCTCCTGCCTGGCTTTTCTCTGCCTCCTTTCTTCCTGACTGTCCTTCCTGCCGTCTTGGAGCATCATTTTGGAAAATTTGCTAGATCAGAGCCTGCGTAACTGCTAGTGCTTAACAGTAGCATCCTCACCTGACCCTTCTCATCCTCTGCTCCTCTCTCTTATGCTCATTTGTTGCATCTGGTTTGAAATCAAACCGTGACCTCCTCAGAGCAGAGCCTTTTCCTTCCAGCTGCCTTTAGCACCAAGCACAACGGTGCCTGGCTGGTATCATTAAGTGCCAAAGCTGTACAAATAAATAAGAATAGTTTTGATTACACAGTTGAAGTTCTGATCTAAAATAATTGAAATGGTAGTCACAAGCGGTTATGCTGTTTATAATTCATATAATAATTTAGGACTGCTAGTTTTTAACTGTTGTGTAATTTGGATTTGCTTGCAGTTCTCATGGGATAAAGTGTATTATTGAACAAGAAAGGAATCAACTATATTCAGAGTAGCTGTAGGGTGCTATGATTTAAAGGAGAGCTGGTGGTATACTACAGGAGAAAATATGCAGGATCCATTATACTGTTAATGAATGCACAATTCAGATTGGTGATTTAATTTTAAGATCATATTTCTCTGGTACCCTCAGGTATAACAGGCTTCATACATTAAAACTGAATAAGGTGGTATGTATTTATGCCCAGTCATGCAAAAACTGAATAATAATAAAAAATTACTTTCCCTTATTGTTTATTTATTTGCAATTATTTTTTTTTAATGACATAGCAGTTAGAAGGGCACCACCATAATTGCTGGCCATGGGGTTCATGGGTTTGAACCTTTGAGGCAGCTTGATATTTATCCATAGCTACAGACTGTCACTGTATTTAAGCCACGACTAGAGCATCATTTTTTTGATCTGGCCAGGAGCTTTCTTGAAATAATCACCATTTCCTTCCTCAGGCAAGGTGGCAGATTGGTGATATTTTAAACTCTATCCTGGCCAAGAGACAAATCCCAAAGTCCTTATTTTTTGCAAGCAGACCTGACTGATGCAAGCAAGACCTATTCCTGCAGAGGCCACACCCATGAATAATTGTCAGAAACGACGTTATGCAGTGACTTCTACCTTTAGAAAATGTGGTGGGTTTTTTTTGCCAATTTTTTTATATTGGCACATTAATTGTAAGCTTTTTCTACCATGCTTTTTCTGAAATGCGAACAGATGTCCAGCTTTTTAAGAAGCCACATATTACAATGGACTGCATTTTAAATAGCACAACCACATCCGCAGAATAAATCTGAAAAGCTCTGAAAATGCACAAAGAAAAGAAGATGCAATCAAAAGAAATTCTGCCTGGCCTTCCAGGTTGTACACCTGCTATTTTAATATTTTTTTTAATCTCTTACAACTAGAGTATCGCTTCTTAAATGAATTTGAACAACTCGCCCAAGAGACATTCTAATCCGATCATATATTATGATGATACCAGTTGGATGTTATCCTATTAGGCACTCACTGTAAATAAGGGATTTTCCACTGACTTTTAAATCCTTGATTAATGAGAATGCTTGAAGCAGTGTCCTGTAAATTAGCCATAGTGCTAGCAACAATTGCAATTCACTTAGGAGAACCGATTTGTTTTAAATCTTCTCATCCAAATTAAAAAGCATGAGGAAAAGATAATGTGCAGTAAGTAAAACATATTACTCTATCTTGCATTATTTATCTGTACCCTGTGGCTGTCCAAGACCCTTAGGTCTAAATCCTGTTCTCTGTTCAGGTAAATTCCCATCAGTAAGAGCTCTTCTGGAGAAAGAACTCTGGTAGCTGGCCCATAGTATTTCTTTAATTTATATATTCTTTATATTCTCTAGTGTTTTAGCTAATTCTTAATCCCATTTTAAATTGCGTTAAGGAGTCCAATGACTTTCATTTGTGGTTTGGTCACTGCCATCTCACTTGCCTTTCGCAGCTCTGTTACCTTTTTTTCTAATAAAAACATGTATGAGTAGCGGGAAAGAGGTATTTGGGTTTAGGGAAAGGGGAGAGTAGGGGGAGGTTGTGACACATTGGTTAATTGATGCTTAAACTGGAAATCTTCCTGACATATTTTCCTGAAGAAAACATTTTTCACATCATCTTACCACTTCCCTTCTTCTTCAAATACTGATACTTGATTTATTGCTTGCAACAAAATTAGTTTTATATCTAGTATTGACTTTGAAACATACATTATTTCCTTTAATACTCTGAGACATTAATGAGGTCTTTCTTGACATGCTGTATTCACATTTATTTAAGGTACTATTCATTTCTGTACCCATAATATACATGCACTTTTATCAGTCAAGAACATTCCTTTGTTCTTGTAGAAGTGTGCATACTCTTTCCATAGATTAGAATTAGTGTCACTTCGTAAAGACAGTTTTGACACTCCCTCTTATAAGTAACTGAGCAAAGTATCTCTCATACATTAAGATACTTAAAAGTGTATGACTTTTCCATAGTTATTTTCTGGTAATTTTGAATGCAGTGCCAACTGTACAAAACGTAGAGTTAATTAAAGTAAATTCTGACCATACCATCCCATATCAAGAATAATCAGAGACACTGCAATAACTGTACAAATCTATCTGATCATTTTACCTCAGTTCACTCAAGTTACAAGGGTTACTCATCCATGCATGTACCAAAGGACCCTTAAACAAAATTCCAGTTAGACCAGTATATCTCACAGAACATCATTTCTTGCAACGGCTATGATGTATGTCTGTGATGCTCACAGGTTGATGGTATTTGTGTACAATTCCCCACTGGTCATTTGGTAAATGTTCAGTATTCTCGCTGCAGGTCGTAAATGTGTCTCCTCCTGTGTTATGGACAGAAGGAAAAATATGATGCTGAGGTTTCATTGACAAAATTTAAACTGTTTGGGAGATGCATTAATTTTTTTTTTATACTTATTAGTACTTTTTTATACTTATTAGTTGTGGCTTTTACAGTACAGAGTTAACTGTTTATGTGGAGGCTTTATTGGTTACCTGGTTGTTTATTTTTTCTTTATAAGTTAGGAAAAACATAGATGCTTTTCCAGAAAGGGACTAAGATATTGATTTTCAAGCTTAAATGTTTGTATTTTGGGGAAACAAAATAGGCATTAGAAATTCAAGAGGACATTTGCAGCTGGCTTTTGTTATAACTCTGTTTTTCTACATGGCAGAAAGAAAGGACAGCTAGAGTACATTTTTTTCTTTGTCTTTTTAACTCTCATGGCAAATCTTCCAGCTCATTTTGGCAGCCTTACAGATTTACAGAGTGGTTTCCCCCAGCTATAAATTTTTGTAGCTATAGGAAAGAGAATTTTTGTGATTATGGCATTGAACTGTGACATAGAATAGCTGTTGTCTATAGCCTTTTTGGTTACCTTCAGCAAGTTACTTCATTCTCTTATGCTTCAGTCTTCTTCCTGTGAAATATAATATTATTGTAATAGGCTTTTCTTTGTTGTGCCTCACATATTAATGAATGTATTCCTGTATCACTTTCCTACTTCACAGAAGTGCTGAAAGCATATGTTCATTAATATTCTTGAAGCGTGACAAAGAAAAGCCTATTACTGTAATACGCTTTGCTTTAAAACTTCAGTTAGAATAATAATGATAAACAACACTGGTTAGGCTTTGGCCATACTGTACAGAAATAATATTATTACATATTCAGACTTAAACTGATGTAGAACTTTGATGTATTGTAATGTCCCTCTCCTATACTTAGGCAAAAAAAAACCCCGTCCCAACCTTAAAATAATATTTCACGTAGACCAAAATGGGTTGTACCTCTTTGTTGGCATATGTATCATACAAGGATCCAAGAATGGCTTTTTGCCTGCTATATCCTTAGCCGCTTGTTTCAGTGTCACGTAGTCCTATTCTGTGTGTATTTCCTTCAGCGAGGTGAACAGAAGCTTGAAATGGACAGTTACGAAACGTCTTGCCCATAGGAAAAGCTTCTTCCTAACCTCATTAGTAATTGCTTGAGAAATGGCCAGGAGCATGACAGTTTGTATTTCCCTGCTATTATTTCCCCTAATAACTGTGGATGTTCTTATTACATTTCTAAATGACTGTTCTCAGAGGTGGCTCAAACAGAAGGGATTTCATTTTATCAGGTTCAGATTGATGGCCTCAGTGTTTCATTGAGTATCTCCTTGTTCTTGCACTGTAAGAAGCGGTGGATAGGAATACCCTGTTTCTTTTCTGTATAGAGTGTTGTATCGTACATCCCTTGGTTTGTCTCCTTTGTCTTGATTTATTTGATTTCTTTTTACAAAGAACTGTCCAAACTCATTTTGGACAGATGTTCCTAGAGCCCCTTGAATCTAAGCACAGTACTCGGGCAGTGCTTACTTAAGAAAGTAGGATATTTTCACTTATTAAAGAAAACAGGATGGCACTTTCTAACACCTCATATATTTATTATTTTCTTTCCTTTACTTTCTTTTCATTTAATAGTTTTCACCTCAATGAGAGTTAATGTTTGCTTCTTTTCCTTTTTTTTTGGCTTAACAACTGAGAAAGCAAGTGCAATTAATGGAGAAAACATCACTACATTCCTGATAGTTTTAACAGCTGCAGGCAATTCAATATTTTGACTTGTTTTCAGCAATATCATAGTAGAGATATTGGTGACAAAGAGGGAAGACCAGCAGCCCCAATACACATATTCTATTTTTCTATTTTCTGTTCTTATTACAAAAAAATATTAAAATGTTTAAGTGCCTGCACTGGATGTCTAACACAGTTCTTCTAAAAACTGACAAGTGCGAATTGAAAAGCAAAGTCCCATTAATACAGAGTTGGAGAGTGTCGCTGTGCCATTATATATTAAGTCTGGAATGCTTTGGGCCTTGCATAAATCCAAGCAATAAAAGGAATGCCAGTGAGAATCTGACAGCATGTTCAGTCAATTAAAATACATCTCTTTGACTTTTACTTTCTTTGCAGACCACAGATGACATTCTGGTGGCCTCGGCTGAATGTCCTAGCGATGACGAGGACATCGATCCCTGTGAGCCGAGCTCAGGTGGGTTAGGTTAGTCAACTTTTTTATTACTTTCTTTTATTTCATATTTGCATGCTTCAGTCCCCCATAATCCCATCTAGCGGGACAGCCCTTTCTTACATAGCAGGGAGAAGTTGAATTGGGGCCTTTCTATGCCCAGCAGTGTCAGTGGAGAGGGAGAGTTTGCTGCATGTTTTTAAAAGACAACGGGATGGGAGGATGTTGATAATCACGATCCAAGGAAGGTTATAGCTTGACCCGAGGCAGGACTGGGAAGGGCATTCTGGGGCCCCCGCAACTGGGTTGTTGTGATAAAGAAGGGACAACTTCATTTAGGAGAAAGATGTTGCAATTGCTCATGCCTTAAGCAATTCCCCCTAATAAGGTAGAAGTACCATATTTCAAGTGTCATATGTCAGTAGTACAAGGAGAGTTCATTTTGAATTACTGTTTATGGTACGAAATACTGGATTGATGATAAAGACCTGAAGACATAGAATACAACAGTCTCAAATTTCCAATTGTCTTACGGCTTTTTTCCAAGCCAGGACTACTCAGAGTGTGTTTCAGTTCTGATTAGAAATGAAAAATTTTTACATTCTAGTATTTTCCGTGGAACAAAACATTTGTAGTGTTTCGGCCATGTCTTTCCTACCCCCCCTGAATAATGGAGATTTTGTACTAATTTTTCTCTCTGATATAATTTCCCACTTACCTTTATATTCAATTAATACTACATACCTTCTCTAAAAATCTGAATGTTTATCACAGATGTGAAAGGAATGCAAAACTTCATAATAGCAATCGGAATAATCATGTTACTCTATAACCTGTAAAAAATCCCAAATGTCCAATGAATTAATCCTGTTTTCTTTGTTGACTTGGGTTAGCTTTTACCTTTTCTGAGTAAACAGCTTGCGGTATCATATATATCTCAGTTTTTCTTAATCACTTAAATTCTGTGATATTTGATAGCACGCTTACTGTCAGTTGGTTTAGGCAATTTGGTAATCTTTGGTACTTGCTATAATACTTACTAATAAAAAAATTAAGATCAACTTGTTGTGGAGTAAGATATTTAGTTCAAGTAGAAATCAATGAAATCTGAGCCTAGTATATTAATACAAATCACAACTGAGAGCCATCTCAGTACAACTCTCAAATCTGGGCAGGGGCTATGTCTACATAGCCCTAAGACAAACCAAATTTGCTTCAAATCCAAATGCATGGTTCCTTTCTGAAGTCACATAGCCTAATACCCACATGCAAAATTAATTTGTTTAATTTAAGTAAAGGCAGAGGCATTTATGACTTGTTTCAATGTTTGATGGACCTGCAGAGTGGCATCTGAGCTCTTCCAGGAACCAAGATATTTATAGATTTGATGAGAATACTTTGGGGTTGTTTTCTTTTGCTTTCCAATAAAAGGTTTTCAGAGTGTTTTTCAAAATGCCATGAGATGGAATGACCATTCTTAACACTGAGCGGCAACAGATAGACCAACCTTACGCATTTTTACACCTCTCAGGAAGACATTTCACTTGCAGAAGTCCCAGACATCATGAGGAAGCTATTCAGGAATTGTGTTGAGAGTTTATTTGTTGAAAATTTGAAGATTAATTTCCATGATTTTTTTTTTCTGCTCTTTCCTTCTTATTTTCAGATTCTTGAGTTTAACAAGACTGTGTCTTGTCCAGGACAAGTCAATGCAGTAGCTCAAATGGCTCTGAACTCATCCATACCAATTGCTTCCTTGCTTTAGTTAACCCAGGCAGTGCTGTTCAACAGATACATTTACATATATCTACTGTAAATGTAGATAATTTTAATATGTTTTTTAAATTTTTATGAAGTAAATGTAAAATAATAAATTACTTACCTACCACTAAGAAATTTCCCAAACTCTCTTAGAGTGCAGCTCTTTTATTAGAAATGTATTTGCATTACGTCAGCCTTACAGGTTGCTAAAAGCTAATGAAATTTCAGAATAATTCTTCTCTGGGGTTGTTTTGAATGTTAGACCAGGGGCTGCAATGCTCAGTAGACATGGAGCCAAGCACAGTCATTTAGCTGGTGGGTGCAGTATCGGGAGGGGTGAAATGAAGCTTTCTGACAGGTTATCATTTCTGTCCAAACTGTGGTCCGGAAGGGGAATGTGAATGTTAATCTTCCTGCAAAACCTTGCCATTAGCTTTACATCCTGGTGTTAGCTTTCCTGCTTTAGCTTATCATTCATCACTCAGCTCCACTTCTCATTTTTGTTTATCTGAGAATGGTTTTACTGTTTCATTTCTTGGATCCCAACTGCTACTGCAGAAAAGTATGGATTGGCACAGGAATTATGTTCTCCATAATCCCAATTGTCTGGATCATTTTATCTGTCATTCTTCACATGAAAATGTCACTTGTCCTCCCACTCTCAACTCTTAAAAGCTATTAATTTGCCTCCCTCTTCATTGGCCTTGTCCTTTTCTCATATTTGAAACAACATGAACCAAAGGGCTTACTGGAGTCATAACTCCTTGTGTATCTGTCTCTCTATAAACTGTTTTAGTTTTAGTCACTTAGTCTTATGAATAAGCTTTCTCCGTGAGTACCCCTGTAGGCACTGCTCCATCTCAATAATACAGCGGTCTGCATGTGGTTTTGAGCTACTCCTAACAGTAGGCTGGAACTTAAGAGACAAAAGCAAAATATTGTTGGCAGTGAAAGACTAATAACTTTTTTTCTTTTCATTTGGCATAGGGGATGCAAAAGGATTTGTCCCTCCATTTAAATTCTTCCCATGGCTCAGTTCAACTTTTTCCCCTTAATCCTTTTCAGAAACCAGAGTTGCTTCTCCACAGCCATTCCTTGACATCCTCACTGATGCTGATGAAGCTTCTGTCTCCTAACAGATACTTCTAGGAGGCAGACAATGTGATGATTAGGAGAATTTCAGGCTTACATTTTCACTTCAGAGGCCATAACCTGAGATCCCATTAGATTTCTTCTCTTGCTGCCTAATGGTCAGTCAGCAAAGGGACCCACCCCAGCCCAAGAGGCAACGCAGCACACTCAGAGCTCTCAGGTCAACAGTTTTCTAGCAAGAATACATTTAAGGGATGGCCAGAGCCCATTCAGTTTTATTGACAAAGCCATAAATGTACATTTACACGATCATTGCCCGTAATACACTGGAACAGGTTGCCTAAAGAGGTAGTGGAGGCCCCATCCCTGGAAACATTCAAGGCCAGGTTGGATTGGGCTCTGAGCAACCTGATCTAGTTAGCGGTGTCCCTGTTCACTGCAGGGGGGTTGGACTAGAGGACCTCTAGGGGTCCCTTCCAGCCCAAAATATTCTATGATTCTATGATTCTATGAATAAGCCTATTTCTAACCAAAGTTCTTGGCTCAAAATGGGAGCCTAGTAACAGCTTAAATACAGTAAACCTATACATCATAGAAGCTACTGATTAGCTAGATTTTACTGATTAGCAAGATTTATGCTTAAAATAGGGCTTCTTTTCTGGGATAAACATGTTGCAGTTTGTAGTGGCTAAAAAATATTGGTCTGCCACTACCAGCTTTGCTTTCTGTGCACCTGTCTTCTAAATAATAAATGAAAAGATACAATTTGCAAACAAATTTCATGTGGGACATAAAAACGTAGACCAGATTAGGAGCTGCTAAGTAGCAATCCCATCAACTTGTCTGGAACATAAAGTCACAGAAATTATAATTGCAGATTTCTTGTGGTATACAAACTGCTAAATGTGCCGTAATTGGATGAAGTCATAATAAATTTATTAGCACGTAAAACTTAGTCAACATATTTTGTTTGCGTTATGTTGTGTACACTTATTACTTTCGCAGTCTCCCCACATTCCCCTCTCTTACTCTAAATACTAATAACAACATGAAGAATAATGATGATGATGATGATAATAATAAATAATAATAGTTTTTGTTTCTTCAGCTTCTTTTCATAGAGGAAATAATAAAGCCTTTCATTTCGTAGACAAGTTACGAAAAACATTAGTGAAAACCTATCCAAAAAACCAGACCTGGGCTGAGTTACTGATTTTATGTGAAGAGTTATAAAACTTCAGGTGGACAAATTGCCATTCTGCACGTCAGGACTGCTGTTCCAGCCTTTCCTGAGCTGGGTACGGAGCTCTGATTTCTGCTGAGTTTCAGTGAGCATTTGTGCTACACAGTTTATTTGTTCCAGTTACACTGGGCTGGTGTTTTATTTGTTAGCTATTGTCTAGCCACTTCTGTAGCTATTGAAATGTTCCAAAAAGCAGAGAGGTCCAAAATGAGCCAAATGAAGTGAGATCATTGAGTTTAATGGCAGGGAAATCTAGACCAGGCAAAAAGTCTTACATTTTTAGCATACGCACAAACAGTTCTTTTTCTGCAAATTACACTTAAGTGCTTCTCAAACCTGGGACTTGACAAAGGTTTTAGTCAGAAAACAGGTTCAAAACCTCTCCAGATAGCCCCAGCAGAAATAGGATGGATAGAGGTTTTGGTAGTCTTAAAGCCAGAATATATGGTATTTGCTGGTCTTGGAAGTTTTAGCAGAAGGCAACCTTCAAAGGGAAAAAATGGTCTTGTAGAAACAAGCTTTTTCAGGTTCAAACAAATGTCTTTTTACCAACAGAAGTTCACATGTTGCAAACAGATAAAATGTGATCGGCGTCTGTCTGGCAGCTCTTGAGTTCCACTTCTCAGGACAGTGGTTGGTATCTGATCTAGTCCTGCACTTATTCTGTAGGTAAATGGGATAAGAATAGTCAGAGCAGAGTTCAGGGAGGTATACAAACAGATATCATTAGCTACCTTTTCCTGGCCCTGACTCTTGATTCTGAGGGAGAAATGGGATCAGTTATTTTCCTGCGTTATTAAGGAAGGGCCAACGATAGGATAGATGCTTATTGACTGAGCTTTGAGCATGTGTTGATTTTCTACATCTTGGTTAGGCTCGTTGCATTGCAGAAAACAGCTGGTGCAGAAAAGCACCAACATAGCCAAAA